AAAAAGCATTCCCTAATACTTCTCCTGAACCATTAAGGTTTTACCTTTGTCTCTCCAAAATCTGTCTTTCTAAGGTATCCAGGCTCTCAGAAATAAACTGCTGTCTTGGAGAAAAAAATAAGATGCTCTCACAGCACACTAATTATATGAATATTAAGAGTTTTGTGACTGCTTTAAAATCAATAGAAGCTAAAAAACTAAAAATAATGCATGTTTCTTTACTCTAATGAAATACCTTAAAGATCCTCTATCAAATTTGAGTTATTCCTCCAAAGGTCATATGTAGCCATTCTTTAATTCCTAATACTTTGCATTCACTTATTAAATCAAATTTAGTAGTTAAAGGGTTGAATTACAGTCATAGGTCACACCTGCAACACCCTGTACTTCTAAAAGCCGTTCAACTTTGCAAATAAACATTCTATTGAGGACATCCAAGTGGAAGGAAATAGTTTATGGCAGACCAATACTTCCTTGAATAACATCAAGAAAAGCTAAATAAAATACTAACCTGATAAAAGCATCAGAGACATATGAAAGTAATGAGAACTAGAAAGGTTAAGATCACAAAAAGAAACGAAAAACAGAGAGGTGAGTTGTTAATCTGCATCAACACTTTCCTGGTTATATTTGCACACGTGAAGGTCCATGATGGAGCTTATGTGACCTTGTGAGGCTACAGGGTCAAAATTGGAGAGTCAAAGGCTCTCAACCACATGACTCACTTCATCCTGGAATGTAGTAAGGTGAAAAGGGAAAAAGCCAAGTGATAAGTATCTGTAAGCAACGTAGAGTTTTCTAAAGTCTCACAGAACTGTGAAGGCAACGACCAGAATGAAAGACTCAACAAGGAGAAGAGGTGAACACAACAGACTCTCAGTAAACACCTGGAGGGGTAGACCTAAGGAACAGGAACCAACTGGAGACAGATTGAGATCTACAGAATCTATAACCCAACTTCAACACAGCTATATTAAGGAGACCAATCTCCAAGTTTTTCTGCCTCGCAAAGGGAAACAGTAAATCTTCTCCAGAGGGAACATAATATCAACTTGGGAACATTTAGAGCCTCTAAAACTTTTCACACACAATATCTGGCATTCAATCAAAAATTATTATGCTTGATAAGAGAGAAGATAACTTGGCCAAAAACCACAATAGACCCATAGGTGATACAGAGATTGGAGCTAATAGCCAAGGATTTTAAAATAACTATGATAAATACCGTCAAGAAAATTAAGGAGAGGATGTGAAAATCAAAATGAGAATAGCATCAGATACTTAGCATATATAAAAAGAACCAAATGGAAATTCAAAACCTGAACAACACAATATAAGAAGCCCTCTGAGAGATGGGTTTAACAGCAGACTGATGCTGCAGTAATCGGGATGACAAGACTAAGAAAACAAAATATCCAAACTGAAGCAACAGAGAGGAAGGATGGGAAACACAGAAAAAGGGCATAAAAGATATGCAGTACACAATGAAAAGATGCAAAATGTAAATGGGGTCCCAAAAAGAAAAAGAGTGAGAGAAATAGTAAAAAACAATGTTTGAAGAGAAAATTGTCAAAAATTTCCCCAAACTGATCAAAGACATCAAACTACAGATTCTCAAAGCTCTGTGAATATTTACTAAAGCTGAACAGATGCATATCCTAATAGCTAACAACAACATTCCTAGAACAGAAATGCACACAAATATTAAATAGAGGACATATATGAGAATTTTCATAGTACATTTCTAATAACAAAATGTTCATCAAAAGTAGAATGGATAAATTATGGTACAGTCATCCAATAGAATGAAAAAGCAGCATGCAGCAATGAGAATGACCCAACTGTAAATATGCGCGTTGATGTGGGTGAATCCCACACACATGTTGATCGAATAGAGACAGAAACAGGAACACATACCAAACAACCAAGAATAGGCAAACTAACCTACAGCGCTGGAAGTCAACATAGTTGTTACTTTTGGAAGATAATGTCTAGAAGGAGATATAAGAAAGAGCTTCTGAGGTGTGTTTCTGTTTCTTAATAGCATTGCTAGATACACAGCTGTGTTTACTTTGTGAAAACTCATTAAACTGAACACTTACATTGTATGCACTTTTATGTATATATGCTGAAATTTGGTAAAAAGTTTATTTAAATAAAACAAGCTCTCTGAGCTCTAAATAAGATGAATATTAATCAATCCACATCTAGGCACATCATAATAAGAGCGCTAATATAATAAAGAGAAAGAGAAAAATCTTAAAAGTAGCCAAGGGAAAGGGAGAGAAATTACTGGCAAAGAGCCACAATAAGACAGAAAGCTGACTTCCAACAAGAACAATGAAAGCCAGAAGACAATGGAATGACAACATTAAAATGCTAAAAGAGGAGCCAGCCCCATGTTCCATGGTTCGAATCCTGGGTGCAGACCTAGCACTGCTTGTCAAGTCAAGCTGTGGTGGCGTCCCACATAAAACAGAGGAAGATTGGCACAGATGTTAGCTCAGCAACAATCTTCCTCACCAAACATACAAAAAATGCTAGAAGAAAGTAAGTGTCAACCAAAAATTCTATACAAGTGGAAATATTCTTCAAAAGCAAAGACAAAACAAAGATGTTTTTGGACCCATAAACAATGAGAGACTACACTGACAGCAGAACCATACTAAAAGAATTGGGAGGAGAAGGAGAGGAGGAAAAGGAGGAAGAGAATTCTTCAGGTTGAAGAAAAACGATCCCTAACAGAACACAGACATGAAAAATAAAGGTAAAGGTAAAAATGTGGGTAAATATAAATGAATACTGATTAATAATAACATTAAGGTCTTCTGAGTCTTATACATGTCTAGAATTAACATGTATATCAACAGTAACATAAAAAGTGGGAGGGGCAAGTGGAATTAACGTTTTCTAAGAAAGAGGAAGGAAAGTGAACTAAGTAATAAATTGTTTTACACTGTAATAAAGTAAGGATACAGATTTGTAATCCCTAAGGTAACCACTAAAAGTTTGCTAATAAAAGTAGAGATAAGTGTCAGGTCAAAAGAGTGTGTAAAATAGAATACAAATAGTAGGTGATAGATATGAATGCCGGTCATTAATTACATTACATGAAAATGGGCCAAATACTCCAGTTGAAAACTAAGGTTATCAGAGTGCATTTTAGAAACCTAAACACTGAACCCATTTATATGCTGCATACAAAAGAAACACTTTAAATACAAGGCCAAAAAATAGTTTTTTTAAAAAAAGTTGTTTTAACATAAAAAGACATACCGTGCAAACACTTATGAAAAAAAAGAAAAACTGGGGCCGGCCCGGTGGTGCAGCAGTTAAGTGCACACCTTCCGCTTCAGCAGCCTGGGGTCTGCTGGTTCAGATCCCGGGTGCAGACATGGCACTCTTTGACAAGCCATGCTGTGGTAGGCATCCCACACAGAAAGCAGAGGAAGATGGGCATGGATGCTAGCTCAGGACCAGTCTTCCTCAGCAAAAAAAAAAAAAAGGACAATTGGCAGCTCAGGGCTAATCTTCCTCAAAAAAAACTGATGAAGCTATACTAATATAAGACAAAGTAGACTTTAAGGCAAGAAGTATTACCAGAGATTAAAAAAAGGACATTCATAATTATAAAGGCATCAATCCATTAGCAAGAAATAACTGTAAATTGGTGCGTACTCAATAACAGAGCTTCAAAATATGTAAAGCAAAAATTGAGAACTAAAAGAAGAAACAGACAAATTCAAAACCATGTTGGAGCCTTAACTACACCACACTCGACAGTTATAGAACAATCAGAAACCCCAATCCTCCCCAAAGAATCAAATCATTAGGGCTACAGAAGATCTGAACACAATTAACAAATTTGACGACATATAGAACACTGCACCAACAAAGACAACAGACAACTTCATTGTAAATGCACACGGAACATTCACCACAGCTGACCACATGCTGAGTCATAAAGCAAACTTCAAGTAATCATAACCATTCAGAATATATTCTCTGAACACAAGGGAATTAAGCAATAAATCAATAAGAAATATTTAACTAGAGGATCTTCGACTGCCCGGAAATTGAACAATACACTTCAGATAATCCACTGAATAAAGAATAAATCACATCAGAAATTTGAAAATATGTCTAACTGAATGATAATTAAGATACGACCTCTGAGAATTTGTGAGATGCACCTATAACAGGAGTTTACAATGAAATTATAGCCTCAAGTGAGTTATGAAGAAGCTAGAAAAAGAATAGAAAATCAAATCCAAAGAAAGCAGAAGGAAGGAAAATTTTTAAAAAGAACAAAATCAGTGAAATAGAAATCAAATGTACAATACAGAAATTCAACAAAGGCAAAAGTTTGATCTTTGAAAAGATTAATAAGATTGATAAACTCGCAGCAAGACTGATAAAGAGAAAAAAATTAGAAAATACAAATTGACAATATCAAGTGGGGATAAGGAGAAAATGGCTATAGATCTTACGGATGTTAACAAGAAAATAAAAACATCTCACAAATAACTTTTCACTAATAAATTTGATGATTTAAATGAAAAGTACAAATTTCTTAAGAACAAAACATATTCAGCTAAATCAAGAAAAAATTAAAAATCTGAATCCTACTTTGTCTATGAAAGAAAATGAATCCCTTATTGAAACCTTCCTTCAAAGGAAACTCCAAGCCCAGACAGTCTCACTGGTGAATTCTTCCAAACATTTAAGGGGGAAACAACAGAAAGCTCACATTAAACTCTGCCAGGGAAAAGAAAAGAATTAACCTTCTCAATCTATTTTCCGAGATCAAGATAACAATAGCATCAAAACTTGACAAAGACATTATAAGAAACGAAAATTACAGACCAATCTTTCATGAACATGAATGCAAAAGTCCTTTTTAAAAGGGAGAGGAAATCATATGATTTCAACAGAAAGAAAAAAAAAAGCAACTGACATCATTCAACACCAATCCGTGATTTAAAAAGGAAAAAACTTACCAAACTAGGAATCGAAGGGACCTGTCTAATTCTGATAGAGGTCATCTCCAATGAGTCTTGAGCAAACAGCATACTTGACGGTGAATTACTGAAAGCTTTTCTCCTGAGATGGCAAAGAAGACAAAGATGCCCACTATCATTTCTATCAAGGTTATACTAGATGTCCTAACCAGTGCGATGATGCAAGAAAACAAAATAAAAAGCATAAGGGCTGAACAGAAAGAAGCTCTCATTATTTCCAGGCAATATACTTCTGAACACAAAAAATCCAAGAGAAGCAATTAACTACTAGAAAGAAGTGAATTTACCAAGATTGCTGCGCACAGGTCAATGTAAAAAATAATTTTATTTCTATAAATTAGTAATAAAAATTCTTAAATAAAATTTTAAAAAGTCATTTACAGTGGCATTAATTAATATTAAAGATTTAATACCAAATCTGACAAAAGATGAATGAGACCCCTACGCTGAAAACCATAAAACATTATTGAGAAAAATTTTAAAGCATGCAATTAAATGAAAAAATATACCACATACATGGTTTGGGAAGTTCAATTATTTCAAAGATGACAATTCTTCCCAAAGTGATCTATGGATTCAATACAATCTAATAAAAATCCTAACGTGTATGGGTTTCTTTTTACAAAATTGATAAACTGATTCTAACATTTATATGGAAATGCAAAGGGCTCAGAATAAGAACAAATCTAGATGGTTTGCACTATCAGATATCAAGACATTATAAAGCTACAGGGGACAATATGACAGCCAAAACCAACAGCAAGATAAACAGGCACCCCAGAACAGATAAGAGAATTCAGAAACAGACATGATTTATGACAAAGGGGACATAATTTGAAGTAAGGTACTGCAATAGAGTGTGCAACAGGAAAACCATGGTCTCGATCACCAGATATCTACATGGTATAAAAAAGAATCTTGCTTTCTACCAGACCTATACACCAAAAGGAACTCCAAAGTATTGTAGATCTTAAAATAATTAAGATTTTAGAGAAAAAAAAAAACTGGCAAATACCCTCATGACTTTAGGTAAAGATTTTTTTTTTTAAAGATTTTACTTTTCCTTTTTCTCCCCAAAGCCCCCCAGTACATAGTTGTAGATTTTTAGTTGTGGGTCCTTCTAGTTGTGCCATGTGGGATGCTGCCTCCGTATGGCCTGACCAGCAGTGCCATGTCCACACCCAGGATCCCAATCAGCGGAACCCTGGGCTGCCGAGGCCGAGCGCTCAGAATTAACCACTCAGCCACGGGGCTGGCCCCTAGGTAAAGATTTTTTAAAAGCTCACAAAAAGGTACCAACCGTAAAGGAAAAAAGGACATACACTCGATTTCATTAAAATTAAGAACACGTGTTCATTAAAAGGCCCCATTACGAAGGCAATCCAAAGAACAGGAGAAGATATCTGCACTACACATGTCAAACTGAGGCCTCATTGAGAAAATCTCAAGAATTCCCACAAATCAGTGAGATGATGGCAGACAATCAGCAGAAAAATGGCCTAATACACTGAATGAGCGTTTCACAAAAGAAGATGCGCAAGTGGCCAGTAAACATTTGAAAAGATGCTTAACCTCAGTAGTGTCAGGGAAATTCAAATTAAAATCAGAGTGCTACCACTATACAGCCACCAAAATGGTTAAAATGAACAAGAAAGGAACAGCAATGCTAGACAAGACGTGCAGCAACTAGAACTCTCACCTCCCACCAGCAGGCACGCAAATTAGTATCACCACCTTAGAAAACCAGCTGCAAGTAACAACTAAGACTGAACGTAGACATTTCCTGGGACCTAGCAATTCTACGCCTAGGTATATACATCCAAAGAAAATGAAGATATTCACCCAAGGACAAGTACAAGAACGTCCACAGCAGCACTATTCCTGATATCTCCAATGGGAAATAATCAAAATGCCCATATATAGGAGAACAAATAAATTGTAGTATATTCATACAATAGAATATTACATAATTTTTAAAAAACTACCGCTATATAGAATAACATGGATAAATCTCACAGACAATATGCTAAGCAAAAGAATCCAGACATGAAATAATACATAGTCTGATTTGACAGATATAAACTCAATAACCGGCAAAACTAACCTATGGAAAGCAATCATCATCAGTGAGGTGGGGCACTGGGGGAGTGACCAGGAGGGCAAGCCGGGGGCTTCCAGGGTCCCGGTAAGGTTATTTCTTGATCTGGGTGCTGGTGTTCATAATGTGTTCAACTTTATAAAAATCTATGGAGCTGTATTCTTATGATACACATACTTTTTTGTGCATTTTATAGTTCAATAAAAACACTTAAAGTGTATTCATTCAAAAAACGGTCCTGGGAAAACCAGATATCCACACCCAAAAGAATAAAGTTAGTCCCTTACCTTATGCTATATACAAAAATTAGCTCAAAATGGATCAAAGACCTTTATATAACAACTAAAACTATAAAACTCTATAGGTGAAAAGACTCATGACACTGGATTGGCAACAACGAATAGAAAAAGTAGATAAACTGGACCTCATCAAAGGTGAAAATTTTTGTGCATCAAAAGATACTATCAAGAGAATGAAAAGACAACCTGTGGAATGGGAGAAATATTTACAGATCATATCAAATAAGCGATTAATATCCAGAATATATACAGAATTCACAAAACTCATCAATAAAAAATTTTTAATGGGCAAAGGACCTGAATAGATATTTCTCCAAAGAATATATACTAATGGCCAATAAGCATATCAGAAGATGTCCAATATCACTCATCATTAGGAAAATACAATCAGAACCACAATAAGATACCACTTCATATCCTGTAGCATGGCTATTATTAAAAAAATACAGAACAGAGTGAGTGTTGGCAAGGATGTGGAGAAATTGGAACCCTTGTGCATCGCTGGTGGGAATGTAACTGTGGAAAACAGTATGATGGCTCCTCAGACACCTAAATGTAGAATGACCTGATGACCTAGCAATTCCACTTCTAGGTATATACCCAAAAGAAACGAAAACAGAGACTCAAACAGAAATTTGTGCACCAGTGTTCACAGCAATACTATTATTCACAATAGCTGTAAGATGGAAACAACTCAAAGGTCCACTGACAAACAAACATAAACAAATTCAGTGTTAAAAAAGGAATGAAATTCTGGCACATGCTACAACACGGATGAACCTTGAAAACATTATGGTAAGTGAAATAAACCAGATACCCAAGGACAAATACCATACGATACCACTTACATGAGGTATCTAGAACTGCCAAATTTATAGAAACCGAAAGTGAAATGGTGGTTGCCAGGGGCTGGAGGAGGAAGTACCGAGGAGCTGCTAATGGGTGCAGTGCTTCAGACTGAGATGATGAGAAAGTTCTGGAGTGCTGCTGGTTGCACAACAAAGTAAATGCACTTAATGCCACTGAATTATACACTTAAAACTACTTAAATGGTTAATTTTATGTTATGTACATTTTACCACAATTTTCAAAAGTTGTTTTTTTAAAAAACAAAAGTTTGTTGAGCATTTATTATTTTCCAGTCACTGTATTAACTGCTAGCACTATAAGTGAATTTTTAAGTGGGCCTATAATATCCTACCTCTCTCCCCTCCCATTCCTCATAATTACTCAAAAGTGGTCATTCTAAGCATTCTCTTCCAAATCTCTTAAAATCTGGAGCACCTACCCACTTACAGCTCAGAACCGAAGACCCCAACACATCATGACCCTTCCCCTTCTAAGTAGTTCTGTCGTCTTATCTAAATCAAATGTGCACAACCTTCTAAGTCAAGTCTTTTGGCTCAGTTTCTATCGATTACTTAACGTATTCACTTGGAACAGCCCATTCCACAAGGAGCACTCAATAAATTTTAAGTATTATTATTCATTCAAAATTTGTTGAGAATCTATTATGATAAAAAGAAGAAGGTAAATATTCTCACACTAGCTAAGAAAAAATTCATATTACATGCTCTTCTTATATGGAAAAATATTAAAAAAGTGGTTAATAAAATTAATATGAATTCTATTGCAACCATTTGTCACATGTAGCTGTCTAGCGTCTAGGTAATTTCCCACATTGTGAGTCTTGCCTTCTCCAAAGCAGAGGCCAGAAAACCTTGAAATACAGACTCCCTTGAAAGGAGAATACAGGCAGTGACCTTGCTTCTGCCGGTGAAATGCACCAGGAAGCTATATTATGGACGACAAAATTTCTCCATCTGTTTACTTCCCTTCCTATGTGCTTAAGACTTAAAGAAAAGGAGATATCGTTGCTAGCCTTAAACCTGGAAGCCTTAAAACAGACTTCTTTCAGGTACTTTAAACTGTCAAAAATATTTTCCTTCTTAGGTTTCATTTTCTCCTAAATTGTTCCTCATATCTTCCTAAAGGGTAGTCAAGTATCATACAGAGTTTATAAATTCGTTTTTTTTCCCCTGAGGAAGACTTTTTTTGCTTGGTCCCTCTTTTTTTTGCTTTTCACCCTGAGCTAGCATCTGTGCCAGTCGTCCTCTACGTTGTATGTGGGTCACCATCACAGCTTGGCTGATTAGTGGAGTCGGTCCCCGCCTGGGATCTCAGCCCGTGAACCCAGGCCACTGAAGGGGAGCTCGCCGAACTTTAACCACTATGCCATGGGGCCAGCCCTATGAATTCTTATTTTAAAAGCTAAAATCCTCTTGTGACCTTCTAGAATAAACTGAATGAACAAAATCACAGTTTATCAATAACCTGAACTAAAACATACATAAATTATAACCTGCTACAAATACAACTTAATGCAGTATCTTTTTAAATGGGCACATTCTGTTTCATAAGCTTTCCATGTATTTCACCTCTAATAGACACATACTTGAAAAATTAGGATGGAAAATATACTGGCTTGCCAGTGACATAACTCACATTATTATACAAATCTATACAACTGGGGTCGGCCCGGTGGCACAGCAGTTAAGTTCCCACGTTCCACTTCAGCAGCTCCGGGTTCAGCAGTTCGGATCCCAGGTGTGGACATGGCACCACTTGTCAAGCCATGCTGTGGCAGGTGCCCCACATATAGAGCAGAGGAAGATAGGCACGGATGTTAGCTCAGGGCCAGTGTTCCTCAGCAAAAAGAGAAGGATGGGTGGCAGATGTTAGCTCAGGGCTAATCTTCCTAAAAGAAAAAAAAAAGATTAAAAAGAAATCTACAGAACTGACTGCTCATGACGGTAACATGGTAAAACCTCAGCTTTCAAAAGACCACAATTAAAGCAAAAAAGCT